ATATATATATATATATATATATATATATNTACTGTATGTAACAGAGTTAATGAATTACATTCATTCATCACTAGGTTATAAGTCGATGAATCAATTATAACATATTAATTGATATAAGTCGAGACGTTTTGTTTTTAATATATATACATGCATCTGAGTAGGTTATAAGTCGATGAATCAATTTACAAGTGTATCAATACCTACAAGAACCCGGCCCTGTGTTCCGAGCGCTTCATGTTCTTATATATATATGTAGACACACACACACATACACACACACAGACACTTCACTGTAATACTATAATGTATATATAACTTGTTATTGTATATGTTAGTGTGTGTATATATATAACACACACACTTCGTGCTACTTTAACTACATATATAGCATGTTATAGTACATGATACTGTATTCATTATTTGTGTTGTAACAGAGTTAATGAATTACATTCATTCATCACTAGGTTATAAGTCGATGAATCAATTATAACATATTAATTGATATAAGTCGAGACGTTTTGTTTTTAATATATATGCATGCATCTGAGTAGGGTATAAGTCGATGAATCAATTTACAAGTGTATCAATACCTAAAAGAACCCGGCCCTGTGTTCCGAGCGCTTCATGTTCTTTTATATATATAGACACACACACGCATACACACACACAGACACTTCACTGTAATACTATAATGTATATATAACTTTTTATAGTATATGTTAATGTGTGTATATATATAACACACACACTTCGTGCTACTTTAACTACATATATAGCATGTTATAATACATGATACTGTATTCATTATTTGTATTGTAACAGAGTTAATGAATTACATTCATTCATCACTAGGTTATAAGTCGATGAATCAATTATAATATATTAATTGATATGAGTCGAGACGTTTTATTTTAATATTCAACGATGCATCTGAGTAGGTTAAAAGTCGATGATTCAATTTTCATACATACACACACACACACACACACACACACATATATATATATATATATATATATGTGTGTGTGTGTGTGTGTGTGTGTGTGTGTGTGTGTGTGTGTGTGTGTATGTATGTATAACACGCTTGTATTACAAAAGATATAGCATGTTAGAGTATATTTTAGTGTATTCATCCCTTGTATTATAAAAGTGTTAACGGATTACATTTATATTATTTAGATAGTAAATACAAACGTGATTTAAATTTTGACCAATGTTGATTAAATAACCGACCAAAGTTGGTCGGTTACTGTCTAGATATTAGAAAAAAGCGACCAAAGTTGATCGGTAAATATTTCCTCTGTATTAACCGACCAACTTTGGTCGGTAATTTTAAATAAGATTTCTCTATATTTTATAAAATATTTTTAACGAATAATATAACTATTAAAAAATTTTAACTGGGTCCCACATTACCAACCAAAGTTGGTCGGTAATGTGAAATTTTCTTTGACTACACAATGCTGATTATCTAGGTCAACCTGTTGACCCCTTTACCGACCAACTTTGGTCGGTAATTTATATAAAATAAATATAAAATATTTTTCTCCCCTTTACCGACCAACGTTGTTCCCTAATCTGGACAGACCAACTTTGATCGCAAAATTTTGGTCGCTAAATTTCGGATTTCTAGTAGTGATTTGCGAGCAGCGTATCGACTTCTTCGCTGACGGCTTCGTTGATCGCGGCATTGAACTTCTTATTTTCCGTACCGGCGGGGAAAATGGGGTCGACATTTAACTTGTGTGTGGCGATATCGTTTAGGATACCTGGCATATCTGCAGGGGAGAAGGCAAACAAATTGGCATGGTCAGTCAAGAACTTATGAAACTTACCTGGTTCGGAGAGGTTGTGCCCGATGTAAGCCTTTTTTGTGCTGTCGTTGCCATCTAGCAGGACGGGATCAAGATTTTCTATCGTTGACTCGGATGCTTCCACGATGTCGGGGTCCTTGATAACGTTTGTCCGTACGTCAAGTTTGGCTCCCGACACCGCTGACTGCTATGCTTCCGCATTTGCTCCTTTGAGTTGTAAGGTGTGTGCGCAATCTTGGGCGATGCGATAGCATTCTTGTGCAGTGCGTTGCTCTCCTCGGATGCTGAATATTCCCTATAGGGTAGGAAACTTGATCACTTGATAGAGGCTGGAAGGGACCGCTCGCATGGCGTGTATCCACGGGCGCCCTATGATGCGTGAAACGTCGTTTCCAGGGTGACCCCTCCGGCTAGGATGGGTAGCACTATCTCTCCAGAAGTCCTTTCAACTGCATTATTAAAACTTGTTAGCGTTATGCAGCGTGGTATTATTTTATCTTCGAGTCTCAGCTGCACGAGGACTAGAGGATGGATAATACACGCGCCGCTCCAGTCATCTACCATTATTCTTTTTACATCAGTATCTGCAATACGTAAAGTGATAACAAGAGCATCATAGTGAGGGAAAGACAAACCGTCGGCATCTGACTTATAGAAGATGATATTGTCTTCGAGGTCATCATACGTTCATGGGTGTTTGATCGTTTGAGTTTATGTGTAGTGGTGAACTTGACATGATTGATTGTTGCGCCATCACCCCCCCCCCCTCGATGATCAATTGTACAGTGCAAGCGAGAGAAGGCGGTTTTGGAGGTCCTTGGGGCTGTTTGCGTCCGCGGGCGAAGTTAGCCCGTCCTCGATCGCTCAGCAACTCTTTTAGATGTCCCTGGCTTAACATTCGTACTACTTCCTGTCGTAGTCCTATGCAATCTTCGATTTTGTGACCCCTTTCTTGGTGAAATTCACAGAAAGTGCTCGACTTCCGAGTGCTGGGGTCTGATCTCATCTTTTGCGGCCATTGCACCTTTGGATCGAGTTTCTCGAGTGCGTACACTATTTCTAAAGGAGAAACACAAAAATTGTGAGCGGATAGGAGTGGAGGCAAACCTTTCTCGTGTCGATACGGTGCTGCATGTCGAGGAGGAGCATCCGTGTGCCACGGTAGAAGCGGAGCGGACGTCCTGACGTAGGGTTGGTGCCTCTCCCGACCGAGGCGTTGCCCCAACTGATCTCTTCGACCGCCGTTGCGACGATCTTTCCTTGCTTCAGTTTGGAGTGACGTCAGCCGTTGGGTCAGACCATTGAGGTCGTCCTCGTCGGCTCGCACCTCGGCGCAGTAGGCGTTATGGATTTCTTCCCAAGTAGTTGGAGGGTATTTCATGAGCCTGCTTAGCAATTTTTTGGTCACTCTCGACCCGTTTCTGTTTAATCCGTTCTGGAAGGCTGCTACTACCATTCCTTCTGACACATTCGGCAAGCTCATTCTTACACTGTTGAGCCAAGCTAAGAAGTCCCTGGGTCCCTCGCCGTGCATCTGTCTTACGGCGAATATATCAGTTACCCTAGCTTCTGCCTTTTTGGCTCCTGCATGGGCGGTGACGAATTTGTCTGCCATTTCCTCGAACGTTGCTATCGATCGTGCTGGTAGTTGAGAGTACCATGTCAAGGCTCCCCCTGTTAGGGTTTTGCCGAACTTTTTCAATAGCACCGATGGTACTTGCTCTTTTGAGAGATCATTACCTTTTACGGCTATAACGTAGTGGATGATATGATCTTCTGGATCGGTAGTAACATCATATATCTTTAAGTAGGGTGGCATTTTGAAGGTCTTTGGGATGGTGTAGGGGGCCGCTTCTTCACTGTATGGGTGCTCGATGAATCGACCAACATCGCGTCCTGGTAGCAACTTTGGAGCGCCTGGTATTTTGTCAACCCTCTCTTGGTGTTCCTTCATTTGGTCACGGAGTTCCTTATTCTCATTTTCCATCTCCTCCATTTTCTTCAAAACGGCTGCAAGTGCATCATTGCCTGCATCATTAGCAACATAAGTGTTACTTGTACGGAGGGCATCTTGCTCATCAGCGTTTATTGTGGCATCTGCATGTTCAACATTCCCGTTATCCCTTTGGGCGGGTTTATCAAGTATGGTGTTCAGAGCACTTGTTAGCCATTCTTCCAGCAGTCTTCTTACTGCCGGTGGTGCCTCTCCTGTTGTAGATGTGAATGCTTCCCTCTTGCGCGAAGCAGTCACTCTCTCGTACGGGGGAGGTGAAGCGTCTCCCCCGGGTGTGGTGTTTGGTGTTTCATTTTCGTTATCCTCTCTGCTATCTTCGTTGATCGTGTCCAGGAGGTTGGTTGTGACGCCTACTATTGCTTTTTGCCTTGCATCTCCTTTCCCTGCCATTGTTGGTTTGTACCAAGCTAGGAAGAGGTGATTATCCCTTTCAGGAGTCTAGATGAAACTAAAATCTTAGCTAAAGAAATCCCCACAGACGGCGCCAAATTGTTTGACCCAAAAGATATTGAAACCTTTTTGACTAAATCAATTGAAAAAGATGAAGAGGTAAATCTCAGCCAAGTATAATAGGCTCTAGATTGAAAGACATAAGGGATGAATAAGATGAATAACGTTTCTTGATGTAATGAAAGCAAATGATTTTTCGCCCTCTTTACAAAGTCTTTCCCTCCTATTTATAAGGGACAACCCCCTCTTGTAACCTAAAAGATATAGCATAGGGAATATTCGAAAGTATATTCCTACTGCCTCATGTTGTGCCTACACTACTACAAAAGTCGTGCGTCTTCTAACCGCTGTCGATCGTCGCCGTCTTCAACGGCCACAGGACACCGTGATCATCCAAATTTGGACCTATACAATTATCAACTTTGACATCGCTTTGCATCAAATCTGATCCAACATTTTGTGATCCCATTTACTGTCCCATTCAAAGTCCGTTTACATGCATCTTACTCATTTTTAATACCTCTTTAGTATTAGATATGAATTTAAGGTATATACACAATAGTTCAAAAGTTTTTCAAGTTATCAGTATAGTTTAATCGATTTTCATGAATTACTTGCTTTATTTTTAAGACTGTCAATTTACATTTACTCAGCTGACACTAATATATATCATATAAAAAATTGTTTACCATATGAAAAGTTAAATCCTTAAGACATAATGGTCATAGTGGAGCACTATCATATGATAGTTAAAATTCATAATTGTAACATAGTTAAGCATCAACCATTTTAGAAAATGACATGCCAACTGCTAAGAATTAAATCACAAGTGAAAACAAGACATTTATCAACACAACCACTTACAAAAAAGCAAATAGGAAAAGCAGTAGAAAATTAACGAAGCAAAGGGGGAGAAAATGGTAGAGGAACTATCCTTTGCCATTTGCCAAGCTTATGAAATAATGAAAAAATAAAATATTGCAGCAACCCCAGAAATTAACAAGGGGATAAATGGTGACAAAGTAACTGATGCTGATGGATGTGAAGTTGTGCCAGTAGTAGTAGTAGTAGTAGTAGTGTCAGGTGTAGGGGTGGCGGATGATGGTGTGGTGGTGCCGGATGATGGTGAGGTGGTGCCGGATGATGGTGTGGTGGAACCTCCTCCACCGCCACTGGCTGCCGCGACGGTGACGGCAAGCTTCATGCCGCCGCTGCAATGGCCCATTACGCCACAAGTGAAGTAATGAGTCCCGGCGGTCTTGAGAGGAATAGTAGTGGCGCCGCTCTGATCGGACGTTATGGCATTCCCAGCAGTGCATGACTGATAGTCACTAGCACTTACTTCATCCACTGTGTGACCACTTGGATAGTTGAAAACTGCAAAATTTTGTAACTAATAATGTTACAAATTTAATTATCCGGTCACCTAAAAATAACTACAGATAATTATTAAACAAAACCTAACAACCTGAAAAATGAGAACAACATGCTACAACAGTTTGAATTACACCAATATACTGTAAAACTTAATATATTATACTCTCTCCGTTTTAATTTATGTGAACTTATTTGACTGAGCATAGAGCTTAAGAAGAAAAAAAAGACTTTGGAACGTGTGGTATAAAATGAGGCACATATATTTTGTGTGGCTAGCTATAAATCATTGCGTAAAGTTAAATTATTTTCAAATATAGAAAGGGATCAGTCTTTTTGCCACAGACTAAAAAGAAAATAAGTTCACAGTAGTTACATTCTTAAAATTTTCGTGTACGAAGAAAACTTACCAAGTGAATCACCAACATTAAACGTTTTTCCAGTTGCCCAAGTGGTATAATCCACGCCAATTGCCCACCCAGCTGAGTCTCCAACAGTATAAACTGTGGCAAAACTTGGTACAAGACAACATATGAACAAAACCAAAACGAAAATCCCAGCCTTAAAATTTCCCATGTTGCTTGTGTTTTCTTGTTTCTAAACAACTGTGTTCTTTAAGGAAGAGATAGAGAGAGAGTTTGTGAGGTAATTTGAGTGAAGAAGCCTACGAGGATTTTCTTATATAAAGGGAAAGCACCGAAAAGGAAATGGAGTAGGTCACTTAATTTTTTTGTAATGGGGTGCATAGTTGTAAAGGAGATGTCAATTATTTCAAGCCCCAAGGGGATATAATTTCAGTTAGACTCATACCTAATGCCCAGAAAAAGTTGGTGTCTATCATTCTTGTTTTCTAACCTTGAAGAATTAGGTTGTTGAAATATTCCAATAGTTATGATATTCCTGTTTGCCCCAAAACATGAGGTTCAAAGCATTCTTATATGTGAAATGCGTAGAGAAGCAGTCATCATTATGGAAAATCATATACATGTTTGACCATCTTTACTGATGTTCTAGTACACTAATTACTCTCCACTCCAAATATTTGTTATACTCTATTATTAATATAATATATGTTTTATCATGTTGTTTGTCGAGTTCATACTCAAATGATCACTCAATTATCCGAAATTACCTACTAAAATCTTCTTTTGTTTGTTTGTAACAGTAAAATCACTTAACTATACATATACCACTTAGAAGGTCACTTAACTAGATTTCTCAAACTTTTGATTATCAAATACCCATTTTACCCTCTAAATTATCAACTTTTATCTTCTTCCTTTTTTAAACTTTTTAATATTATGACTTTTTTATCTTTTTCGTTTATATTATAGATTTGCCTATAGAATAAATAAATTTTATTTGTAAAATAAAAAATAAAATTAGTATTTAAGCATTTATAATGCTTGAATAATAAAATATTGAGCATAGTAAAATAAAAATTAATCAGAACAATTTGTCGGTGATAATATTTTTTATATCAACAACAAAAACGCAAAAATTTATTTACACAATTGAGAATGAAAGAAAATAAAAGTTCTAAAATATATATTCTGTGCACGTACTATAAAAATAATTATTTAAAAAGCTATTTTTTATAATATACACTATATATTCTTGAAAATTATGCTCAATTATATTATTATTCTGACATCATATATGCTAGAAAACTATTTTCTTATTTTTTTATTTTATAAATAATTTATTTGTCCTATAAGTAAGTCCAAATGTTGATTAAAAAGAGAAAAGATTATAATATTAAGAATAAAGTAAAAAAAGAAGAAGAAAAAAGTTGATAATTTAGAGGGTAAATAGGTATTTAACAATAAAAATTTTGAGAAATCTGGTTTAGTGACTTTCTAAGTGTTATAGGCATAGTTAAGTGACTTTTATGTTACAAACGAAAAAAAATGACTTCAATAGATAATTTCGGATAGTTGAATGCATGACGATTCAAGTAATGGCCTCGTTGTTTGTCTTATTTTTGGATAGCTAATTCCACTTATTATGGATAAATATTTTCTAGGTAAAACGATATTATAAAAAATATTTTACTTTGTAAATACATAAAAGTTACTAAAATGTGGACTACCTTTATTTAGTTGAAATCACCTTTTGAACAACTTCACGGAATTTCATCTATAAAATATGGACTACCTTTATGCTAGGAATAATCATAGGCAAAGAGCAATGAGTATTCTGGGCAATATTTAAATTACTTTAATACTAGTAGCTAAGATAAAGTGACACAATATATTATCCCAAAGAATTACAGAAAAGTACCAACAGATTGAAAAGGTTCCCTACGCGCTCTTTGCTTTTGAGAATTGACTTCTTTCTGCAAATATAGAAAATTTGACACTCTGTTACGAACTAAGGGATCGTTCTTTCTCATATAAACTTACAAAAAATATTCACCTAACCATTCAGCGAAAGGTGCCTGAGTACCTAGGGGGGTTCCCCACAGGCCACATGCCTAAACTCGATAAAGTTATTATTTTTTTCTTTTTTCCTGAAAACAAAAACTAGTTTCCTATCAGTATAGGGTTGAATTTGATCGATCGCGTCTCAAAGTCAACACGACCAACCACCGAATACCTACGAGTCGACATAAGGGGACGACCCAGGGGCAAGAGGAGAAACGACCCCGCATTATCGTCGGCTCTGTTATAGAATGTACTCTAATTTTATCTTCCCGTTAATTAAGGATCCTCTGTTATATAAAGGGGATCCGGGTCTTGTAAGGGGGAGGGGTTTTTTCTATTGGGGAATACACAAGCTCATACTCTTTTTCATCTTTATCTCTCTGCTATTCTATCTCTCTCTCTCTCTTTCACTATTACTGATATTCCGATTATTAAAAGTATCCCATGGCTTATTATCTTCGATTACGATTTACCCCTTCATCATTTTGATTGATTTGCTCAAAAAGAGTTAATATCTTTTGAGTCAAACACTATCCTCTCTTCAGATTTTAGAAATTTGCATGTTAACTCCGATAAGTACGAAAATAGTTAATTCATTTCTTAGATTTTTTAACGCCCTACTCTTTTTTTATCTTTTCAAGGTTGTTTGGTTTGAAGACAAGTTATGCTAGGATTAATTATGCGAGGATTAGTTATATTGGAATTAGTTGCTGGTTTTATTTCTTGTTTGACTGTTTGGTATGTTGTATTAATCCAGAGATTGGCAATTTTACTGCTTTATTCTTGGATAACTTATCATGAGATTACTATTCCACCCTTTGATAGATATAAATTATCTTGGTATTATTTTTAATCCTGGAATAACTTATCCAACCAAATAAAGAATAATGTGGTACTAAATTTATATCCAGAATTATTTTTGCTTACCATAGTACTAAACGACCCCTCCGAGTATTAACAAGCAAAGAAGAGAAAGTTCACTGGTGATGTTCTAGACAATTAAAATTCTAACTCTGTAATATTACGATCAAATTATGTCCTCTCAATCATGAAGCCAAGAGTACAATGTGATGTAGGAATACCACGAAAATAAAGTAATTATAGCTCTCATAAATGACAGGCGAGTGAGACAATCTAACAACAATTTAGATGTCAAATCCTCATTGCTATCTTTGAAATCATTCTCAAGTTTTAGATTCTCCTTTACAGTATTTCTCTTTCGACTTCCTCTAGAAACAATTACTACGATTTTTTCCTATGGATCACACAAACATCGTATACGACTTAGGAGACAATCACGCTTCACCCTCTTCGTCGAGCAATTGACAGAAAATATAAGAGAAATAGAAAACTAATTTTTGTTGAGGTCGTTAAGCTCCAGAGGATTGGGCCAACTGCTTCCTCCTTTCTGCGCCAGCTACTTTAGCTGCCCTATTCTAATGGGGTTTTGACACAATTACCCACAAAAACAAAACTATTTACCTTTGTCTACTTCCTACCCATAAACTAATTACATTTCCTACCCATAGTAGGTTTTTGTGGAGAATTTTTTCTTTATTCTTCAATTCTTTTTTATTTCTATGCTTCTTTTCTTTTCTTTTCTCCTTTTCTTTTTTCTCGTTTTCTTCTTATTTTTTTTCTTTTTTCCTTTTCTAATTTCATTTAACTTCTTTTTTTTATATTCTTTTTCTCTTCATAATCTAATTTCATTTACTGTTTTCACTATTTTTTATTATTCTTTTTTTTTTATACTTGTTTACCCTCGAATCCGGATAACAATTGAATTTATATGGGGTTTTAAGGATCCGTGAACTAAAAGATACAAAAGGTTTTTAGGTTAAGGAAAATAAAGATAAAGACTCAACAATTGCTGTTAAAGTAAATAATCGCAGAATATAATATTGCTTAGAACAATTGTGCTTGATGATCCACAAGAATTTAGAGAGATACCCATTTATACATTCTGATTAAGGGTAAAAATAAGGTAGGTAAATTGATTACATCGTGGATCCCTGTAATTACGCCTTAATGGCCTGAAGTGGTTGAGAAAATCACGTTTGGGCGAGATATCCGGCGACGCTTGGTTATCCGTTACGAGCCCGGCTTCCGACCTTGTGTGTTTCTCCATCCGGTGGTGATTCCTTTCGAGCTCTGTAACGGTCTCGAAATGACTCGACCTCGGTTGTAGACGTGGCCGTCGTTCTACCTTGCATCCAGGTCGGGTTCGATGGCCCCGACTTGCTCCGGACCGGATCCAACCCGGTCGGGCTCAAGCAAAAAAAAGGGTATCACCCAATACAGATAGTCCCCTCGTTTATTAGAGAGTAATGATAATAAACGATATGACCGGTGACGTGATGCCCGTGACGTATGGCCATACGCCAGGTGAAAAAGCCATCGAGTGCTCTGACCACGCCTGCTGCAGGCATTTAATGCTTCTCTTAATTATCTGTCGCTTCGTGTTTGTGGCTTCGCGATTCGTGCCACCGCCTCATGGAAAAAGTATAAACGACCCTTCCAGGTTCAACATTTCCTATCTTTCTCAAATTCTGCATTGGTTGTATTTTCTTTTCATCTCTTCGTAAAGCTTTAAGAAATGGCGAAAACTTCACAAAGTGTTCCTTCTAGACCAAGCTCGGCCGCGAGCCCCGCTAGATCTGATGAACATGCACCAGAACCCCCATTGA